AAAAAAGCAGAATCTCAGCTCAGAACTTTCTGCAAACAACAGCCTATGGCTAGAATTCAATACCAGTATTTCAACTATCAACTGATGATTACCTTTACCTTTCTTTGTAATGTTTTTTAAATCCATTTGTGATACAAATTTGTACAATGTTTCATTTTCAAATTTACGTAAGTCATAGTATCAGGGGCACAGAAATGACTGAAGTTTGGGCTCTGGTCCAGATGCCTCCGGTAAATAGTGAGTATAGAGAAAGTCCTGAATTCTACAAGTTAGGTTTGAAGGACCAGTGGCAGTTTCTTAAGTGGGTACTTCATGTTATAAACAATGGGGCCTAATTTACTTTTCCTGGATTACTATACTATGTCTGACAGTAGAATTTTGCCCATTTTATTTTCTCCTAATCTGGAAAGCTGACATGGAGTAGTCCTATTTGATTGGAATTCCTTTAGCTTCCAAAACTTGAATCATCTTGTCTTGTTGTTTGCTTCTTACACTGCCTGTAATGTAGGAGAGCTGATAGAAAAAGCCTGCTTAAGCTGCAGCTGCCAGAATAAAAGGTAACATGCAGATGTGTATTACACTTTTTTCCCCAAAAAAGAAGAATAAGAAACATGTTGATTTCTTCCTTGTGAACTTCACTTATCACAGGAAAATATCATGATTTTGGATCACATTTCCATAGCAGCAATCAGACTACTAAAATTCACAAAGGATCCGCTGGGTGCATGCAGCCAGTAGAAAATTCTGCAAATGTTGAAAGGAGCGGCTCACACAACTTACTTCCGAGCTCTATTTTCATTTTGTTGAAATAAAAAGACAAAACAAAAGAAAAGAAACTGTAAAATATTCTGGAACAAAATAACACAATGTGGTGTTCAGCTGTGCACAGGGGGCTCGATTCATTAGCTGGAAGATCCTGTTACGATTCTGCAGGATTTTGACATATTTACCAAAGAGACACACTATTCAATTATCCGTCTTCATTGCTACTATACTTTCCCATCTGAAAGCACTTAGCTTCCTCCTGAATAAGAGTTCAGAAGGAAGAGCATGCAAAAAGTCATCGTGGCCTCTTGATACTTGATGTTGAAGTAAACAACAAGAACTATTTTTGCCTAATAAGAATGTGAAATGATTAAAGGAACAATATTTGAAACAATATCATTACAGTTTTTTTGGGGGGTACATATTTTCCAAATTCGGACAACAACTCAGAAGCCTGAGGCTTCTGAAAGGCAGGTAATCCAACTCTCATGTTATACAAATCAAGTAGATTGGATTTCTTGCTCTGAAACAAATTCATGGTGGTCCATAGTTGAGATAAAAGAATGATAAACTTTAAAGGTAAAGTTGCTACCAGAAAAAGAGTTAAAAGTTAGAGAAAGAGAACACTTCATGGCACTAAGTGATAGTCTAAAAAGACAAATAATTACTGAAAAGAGGGCATGGGTTTGGAGAGTTCAGCATCCAACAGAGAGTAGAGAGGTCACGTATCTGGTAGAGAGGCTATGAAGTTTGGAAAAGAGAAACAGAGTTGAGATAGCAGGGGCTGGTAGAAGCAGAGAGCTGCTGAGAAAGCACTCAGGACAAATCAGAGAGTAGGAGAGGCCAGGAGTGATCTATCCAATGAATTTTAACATTTTTCTTCAGCTAGTAAGGTCTGATTGCACCCACTGCTGACAGATAAGGCTGAGGGTCTCACTGTATCCGCACAGTGGGCAATGGAAGCCTTGCCCTTAAGAATCGAGCCCTGTGTGCTTCCCTTATGACTTCACTCCCTAACTTCCAACACTAAGCTAAAATGCAAGACAAGTATACATGATTAGAATGATCTAGCCAAACACAGTTTGTATGAATAAACATACTCAGTTACACATTTACAAAGTATAAATGTCCCCCACCTCAAAGGAAACCCAAAATCCCCTAGATGAATTTATAAAACAATTCAGAGCATTTCTGAGTTGCCTGAAGCTTATCTACTTTAGAAGTACACATTGCTACAGAAGAAACAGAATAAGAAATGTCTGACAGAAGTAGAAAAATCACAAGTGGCTTTTTCTGTCACTCTATCCAAACACAATATGCTAAGAGACCCCATGCAAGTAACTCCACAGTACCACCCTTAAGAAAGGGTTTACAAGCCTTGTAGAGTGTGTTTGTGACTTGCTTAGGGACAGTTTTTAATCTCAGCTTCCCGAAATACTTTTTTCTAACATTTTAATGTAAAAATGTAATAACCTACAGCAAAGTTAAAAGCATTTTACAGTAAAAACCCCTAAATTCTCCCCCAGGCTTTTGAATGTGAATGTATTCTGAACATACAGTCCAGAAGAGTCTTATATTACAAGATGTAATACAAACCACCACTGCACATGGCTACAGAGCCATGCTACAAAAACTATCACAGCATTTTTTAGATTTGTTGTTATATGAAAATTTATCAAAGGTAAGTCACATGTAATTATCCATTTGATAGGTTAGACTGGGACAGGAAAGGACCCAGATAAGATCCTGGAGGCCATGGGCTGTGTGGCTGCCCAACACATAGACCAACCACAACTGCTCACTGCTGTGTCATTTCACACGCTTCCACCCCGGATGTTCATACCTTCTCATATGCGCTAAGGTAAGGTTTCTTTTTAATACACTAAATATAGGTTAATGTCAAAATATTAAAAGTACAAAAAATGATTTCACCATGGTATGGGCTGTGGACCTCCTGTATGATGTTGGGGTTACTGTGTAGTGTGGTTTTAGTAGAGGAAGACCACTCTAATAGGAGAGTTGTGCGAGGTAAGTCCCTTGGGGAAGATGCCTGTTTGACAGGAAAACAGGCTGAGGAACAGAGGCGAAAGCTCAGCATCTCTGGGTGGTGAGGCAGGGAGGGTTCTCATTCTCTTCAATCTAAACTTCAAGGAATCAAGATGTCTAGGCAAGTGCTCTTAGGTGGTGGTTCTGGGTTATAAGGGTAACTGTGAGGTCCCTTTTGTGAGCAAGCTCCCTTTTGTGAGCTAGATGGCATATAATGTTCCTTTTTGTGGTTTTCCTTATTTTAAGAGTATTATCTGCAACTCAAGCCTTGTGTTTTCCTTACAAAGGGAGAAAAAGCATAGTGCTGTGTCAAGTCACAGAGCTAAGAGGAAATGGCATCACCATCTTAGGAAAAGCATGTTAGTAAAGTTGGGGAAACAGCATGAGTATATAGTGCTCTACTATAAATCTCAGGATACTTGAGTTTTAAATTCTACGAAGTATGAAACTGTCCATAATTATAGATATATTTTGCATTTTCAGTGATATCTATTTAAGCAGGGCAGTTGAATGGACAGGTTTAGTATCCTAGGGTAGAAGATGAATGTGCAGTAATTTCCTACAGAATGTTAGTGGTATCATATTACCTATGAATTACCTGAACATGCAAAATAAAATTGCAGCCTCTGAGTTTTCTTGTCTGTTATACTAGTTGACTCTGAGAGACAAATCTCACTGGATAGCCAAAACACCTTGTATTTACCCATCTTTCCATTATTACCCTGGTAGGTTTCAAAAGAAAAGCCACTTTTCTGAGCAACAAATCTGACTATGTCTGCTCTTCTCCATACAGAGATGCTATTAAGAGTAAGTCTGCATGGCATCACAATTGATACCCACATGAATAATACTTACAGTAAGGATGCTGCCAGCCTGGAGGAGAAAGACCCTGTGCTTTTATATTGTCAGTGCATCTTACTAGATATACAGTGTTACTTTAAAAGTCTATGCTAATTATGTAACAATGAAATGACAGGAAGGACTTAAACAATAATGGTGGTCTAGATAAAGCCAAAATACTATAAGAGAGTGAAAGGTCTATACAAACTAGAAACTCTATAATGAACATATAGCCAAAATTCTGATTAAAAACAAATCTAAAATTCAAGTATTAAATCAGTTATATGCACTATATTCATATACATGTGCTTGAAGGTATGTTTAAAAAATCCAAATACATTATGTAGTACATTATGTAATATTAATTTTGTTCAAGATTTTGCACTAGATACAAGCTAAAAACATCCTAGAGCAAACTTTCTGAATAGGTTAAACTAAGAAATACAATTTTAGCAGAAATTATTGATTCTAAATAGAAACTGAGAAGACATTTTAATTAATAACTATTCTAGTACTAAGTGATTTTTAATCATTAAAGGAACTGAGGTTATTCTCAGGATCTCACTGTGGAATGATTAAATTGCCAGATAACATCATCTGGGAACAAACATGACAATGTTTTCTTCTTTCATCCCTTATGAAACAAGAACAACCAAGTGCAAAAATTGAAAGCCAAGGACACAAAAGCAGGATAAAAATGAAAGATGATACTTACTGATGAATAGCTTGCAAGAATTTTCGTTGATGTTTTCTTACTTTTGCGTGATCTATCTTTTTTACTAGCTTTGTATTTTTGTAAATTAGCCATGTTTCCCTGAGTACATTGGCAGCTGCATTTTTTACCTGTTAAGAGGACAAACAAAGAAAGCTGTTGATAAATTCCAGACCAGAATCCTTTGTAACTTTGCTTGGGGTCACAGTCTTCATCCCAAGGATCATGGTGAGCTGTAGCTTCATTTGGTAACTATGGCTCAAAATATGCTTTTATTTCTTGAATCTATGCCTTTTAGAAGTACTTGTATCTGCCTGGGAACAACACTTAAATGGAAATAGAGAGATACCACCACCTTCTTTCTGTGCTAAGTTCTATCCTGCTCCTTTAGGAACTCCTTTTTTATTCAACTTTTTTTTTTTTTTTTTTTTCCCCTTTTTTTTTGTTTTTTTAAATTTTTTTTTCATTTTTTTTTTTTTTTTTTTTAATCAAGAGGTGTTGATTTTTCCACCTTGTATTGCAACTGTTGTCTCCATGTTCTTCCTTTCCCTGAGAAAGACAAAATGCCATGAGGCCAATGTTAATCTTGTCCTGTGCAAGCCTTCTTTGTATTTCTGGCTGTGGTACTACTGGAAGGACACGTTTCCAGTGCTGAATGTATAAGTGCACCCAGCACTGATAGCCTCCCAGAGTGACTTAGCAATTTGTATGCTTGTTAGCACACTTTAATTAATGGACAGAGTCTGTTATCATGATTTTGTTGGAAATTTTAAATACATGCATTTCAAATAGATGGGACAAATGAAAAGGCTGAAAGCACTGCAGTGACACTGACAAGACCTACAACAGCTGATGAAAGGCATCAATACTTTATCAAATCACTTGCTTTCTTGATTAAAGTCTTCAGCAAATCCTGGGAGGGGATAAATGGTCAGCAAAGGGAGATTCTGTCTTCTTCCTTGCTCACACTATGGGATCTGATGACCCACAGCTTTCACCTGGGCTTTGGATTACTTACTCTAAGAAGTTGTTCCATTTAATTCTTTCGAGTGATGGATAAAGGATACTTCACAAAGAAAGCCACAGGTTACTGGGGTGCTAGGTGGAGGAAGATAATCTTTAAAGAAAGGCAATGTAGTGGGGAAGACAAAACAATGAGCTGAGATTGACAACTGGGTTCCAAGTACTTGACTTTGAACTAACCAAGTCAGGTCGAAGTGCTTAGCTAACCTGTAGGACTTGTTTTCTTGAACATCAGAAAGTTAGAGATAATGAATATTAAAGTTCTCCAAAGTTTAGATTTACAATAAGGACAAGCTTTAGAATTACAATAAACCATGGGCCCAAGTTTGTATTTATATTTTTCACTTTAGCAAAGAAAACATCAGGTTTGGTAACATGGTGAGTCCTTTTTCATGGAGCTGAAAAGTTTTCTTTTTGAGCAAAACTCTACTGCTGGAACTCATTTTAAGAACACGACTGGTCGTTGACAGTAAAACTTCTTTTAGGAGTGAGTCTGGTTCATAATGTACTTCCTTTGGATATCCATTAGACTCTGTTCATGGAGAGAATCTACAAACCAACAGAAAAATGATCGACACAGAAGCCCAGCACCAGCAGTGTGTCTAAGTAATACTACCACGATCCACAGTAAAGTTAAATGGAGTTCGAGTAAATTCTTAGACCCATCTTCATACTTCTACTTCCTCAGACAGCAGTGAGAGCTGCTTTTCAGATGTTTTCATCTGATCCTCACGTCCTTTCAAAGGTAAGGGAGTGGGGGCAGCATGAGTAGTTGTTATTTGGGGACCTTGCTTTTAAGGAGAGAGGAGTGGGAAGTGACTGGCCAGCAGTCCATGGGGTTGGAATAACCTTTCCCTGTGAGGAAAGAGAGAGTCTTAGATCTCCGAGCAACTGCAGATACCCGGAGGATTGGCAAGGGGCCCTGATGGAGGCTCTCTCTGATTTTACCAGTCCAAGGCATAAAGGAGAAACCTGGATTCCTGCCTGGTGAGGAAGCTGGAAAACCTGGTAAAAACCCTTGATAAAAACCAATGGGTCAGAAACACAGCAATAGAACATAGCACTTGATTTTGATTTGTATTCCCATCTACAAACAGCAAATGCCAAATTACTTCTAAAGTCAATACACTTTTAAAAGGTGATTGATGCAATTTAAATGATTCCTTCTCTTGCCTATATGGAGAAAGGGTTGAAGGGGAATACAGAACCTCACTCTCAGAGTTCAACGGTAGGGAGTAGTGCCCTTGAGGCCTTCTGTTACAGCCTTCGTATTCACTAAGCACTCATTTCAGCTGATGGGCTAAAATGAAAATGTTTCCTCATCTGAAAATGAAATCCCTGCAGCTGCTTTTAAAAACTCTGAAATATACAAGTTTATTTTGCAATATCCCAACTCCCTAATAGGTTGTCAAATACAGGAATAAACCTCTTAATGCATCATATTTAACTGCTACTTTTCAAAATATGGCAGCCACAAAACAGTATGTCCCAGAATAAAAATCCCACTCTGCCTATTACTGAGATGTGTTTCTAATAGTAGGGTCTTCCTTTACATCTTAGGATTGAAAGGGAACAGAGGCCCGTGAGAAGATATGGTCGAAGGCACCTCAGTATTTTACAGGTATGAACCATGGGAAATTGCTATAAGAAAGTGATATGTAAACTTCCAAGAAAAATGGGGAGAAGTAGGTCTATGCATTCATTTTTTAAATTTGTATTTAGGTAATGAAGTGCAATTTTGCTTCAAGGATACATTGTGTAGCAATGAAGCCTGGGCTTTTACTGTAATAATCACCCAAACAGCATATATTGTACCCATTAATAATTTCCCATCTCTCACCTCCCTCCCATCTTTCTAAGGTCTAAGCATTCTTGAGCACTTAGATGACAGAGGAGTTGATTTGGAGGGAAAGTTTCCTTTGTATCCTCAGTCAAGAACTGTGCCATATAACCATCTAGTTATGTAACATTTGGACTCTCTTTGCCCCCTTTCCAGGGCTTTTAGAAACTCTCAGGGTAATCTCTGTCTCTCTAGCTCAGTTCTTTGGGCATAGCTTGTACTAAATAAATCGCTATAATGTTAACTGGGCACCATAGCACATATAATTTGTACATAAAAACCTCTCATGAACCACACCAATACATGCTTATCAACCAAAGGACCCTCTTGATAAGAATGGTATATAGGTTCAGAGACCTAATCTTTAAATGGATCAATGTATTCCCACTTATGAATTCAACCTATGCAGTGAATCTCTACCACATGCTATGTACTGTGATAAGTGGTATAGGAGGATTTACAGATTTCCATCAATCTTACATTTAGTAGCTATAATAATCCTATAGCCAATTAATGGGCCAAAACACCTATGAAATAAAACTCATTTTCCATTTATCAAAAAATAAAGAAAGTGGGGGAAGGATCTTTGTTAACAGGAACCTCTTCTAACCACGTTTCCCACGCTTTATCCCCGCCACCCAACACACATACGATTGAAAAATAAGAACATTTGCTCTGCCTCACTAGTAATCAAGTATAATCAGTCTGTCAGAAAAATGTTAGAAGACATATTAATAATCAATAATTTTGATAATAATTGGAAAAAACAAAGGCTCTAAAAGAAATACTACTACTGGCCAGGAACAGCGGCTCACGCCTGTAATCCCAGTACTTTGGGAGGCTGAGATGGGTGGATTATTTGAGGTCATGAGTTTAAGACCAGACTGGCCAATGTCAAGTGAAACCTCATCTCTACTAAAAATACAAAATTAGATGGGCATAGTTGTGCACACATGTAGTCCCAGCTACTTGGGAAGCTGTGGCAGGAGAGTCTCTTGAACCCAGTAGGTGGAGATTGCAGTGAGCTGAGATTGTACCACTGCACTTCAGCCTGGGTGACAGAGTGACTCTCTCTCAAAACAAACAAAGAAACTACTACTATGTTAGTGGTAGTACTTTTATAAAATCAAACCATGGGTTATAAGATACAAAATATTTTTAAGTATAACAGTACTTTACAAACCACCAAAGCACTTCAGGTGGCTGGACTTTTGGGTTTTTTTCTTCAACTTTTATTTTAAATTCTGGGGTACATGTGCAGGATGTGCAGGTAATGTTATATAGGTAAACATGTGCCATGGTGGTTTGCTGCACAGATCATTCCATCACCTAGCTGTTAAGCCCAGTGTCCGTTAGCTCTTCTTCCTGATGCTCTTACCCTCCCCACCTCAACCTCCACAAGGTCCAGTGTGTGCTGTTCCCCTCTATGTGTCCATGTATTCTCATCATTCAGCTGACACTTATAAGAGAGAACATGCAGTGTTTGGTTTTCTGTTACTGCATTGGTTTGCTGAGGATAATGACTTCCAATTCCAACCATGTGCCTGCAAAGGAGATGATCTTGTTCCTATTTATAGCTGCGTATTATTCTGTGGTATATATATACTACATTTTCTTTATCCAGTCTATCATTGATGGGCATTTATGTTGATTCTATGTCTTTGCTATTGTGAATAGTACAGCAATCAATATACACATGCATGTATCTTTCTTTATAATAGAATGGTTTCTATTCCTTTGGGTATATACTCAGTAATGAGATTGCTGGGTCAAATGGTATTTCTGCCCCTAGGTCCTTGAAGACTTGTCTTCCCTAATGTCTTCCATAATGGTTAGATTAATTGACACTCCCAGCAGTGTAAAAGCATTCCTCTTTCTCGGCAACCTGGCCAGCATATGTTGTTTTTCTGACTTTTTAATAATAGCCACTCTGATGGGTGTGAGATGGTATCTCATTGTGCTTTTGATTTGCATTTCTCTAATAATCAGTGATGTTGAACTTTTTTTCATGTTTGTTGGCTGCATGGATGTCTTCTTTTAAGATGTGTCTGTTCATGTCTTTTGCCCATTTTTTAATGTTTCTTTTTTCTTGTAAATTTGTTTGAATTCTTGCATACTCTGGATATTAGACCTTTGTCAGTTGGATAGATTGCAAACATTTTGTCCCATTTTATGTATGCAGAAACTCTTCAGTTAGATCCCATTTGTCAATTTTTGCTTGTTGCAATTGCTTTTGGCATTTCTGTCATGAAATCTTTGCCTGTGATT